TGATTCAATAGGGTTATCCCGAAAAATTCCTAATGGGCCGATTTGTGATCTTATGCGCCCCCGTCCTTTATCTATTGTTTCTTTTTTGTTTCTTCGAATTTGTATATCGTTAGCAATTATTGAAATTGTAATAACAGTTTCCTCATTTGACTTAGCTTTTCTTATCAATTATATCTTATTGCTATTTTTGTTGTTTCCCATTTAAAATACAAATTCATATTATAATTTAAAGCTTACCCTTTTCCTCGTTTGCTATAATTATTTAAATTTTATTTCAATTGATTTTTATTCTTTAATCACAGCCATAGCAACTACTTATAAAATTAGTGTTATTACATCGAATGAATTTGGTAGTGGTACAAATGCCAATGTTTATATTATCATATTTGGAGAGCATAATGATACAGGTTTGATTAATTAATTTGATGAAAGTAAAAAGAAATAATTATTATATGATTAATAGGTAAAGTTCCATTAATGACATCAAAAACACATAACGATCCATTCGGACGAGGTCATACTGATGTATTCAAAATCGAAGCTATGGATATTGGTGAACCAACAAAGATTAAGTATAGATAATTATCTGAAAAATGAAATTATTATGCTTTTTTTTCTATTGTTATTTAGAATTGGTCATGATGATGCAGGTTTCCGATCAGATTGGTTATTAGAACGAGTTAAAATCGATGTACCTAAATTTGGTCGTACATGGGTATTTCCATGTGGAAAATGGTTAAGTAAATCGAAAGTTGATTGTCAATTAGAAGTTGAACTTTATCCACAAAAGAAGGCAACTGAAGTTTATACACCATGTAAGAACAAAAAAAACAGAAATAAATGAATTTATATTTTTTTAAAATATTTTTATTTCTATAGATGTTCCATATGAAATAAAAGTTTTTACATCAAAAGTTTCTGGTGCTGGAACAGATGCTAATATTCATATTGAAATATATGGTGTTGAAAAAACAACTGGTCAAATTATGTTATGTGGTAAAACAGATCGGAAAGGCAAATTTCAAACAGGTTCAGTTGATACATTCGTACATGAACTTGAAGATGTTGGCAAAGATATTGAAAAAATTCGTATTGGACATGATAATCGTGGTTTTGGTAAAAAAATTAAAAATATCAAATAACATGATATTTAATTAATTTATTTTGTTTCTTAAAAATAGGTGCAGCATGGCATTTGGATCATGTTGAAATTCGTCGATTAGATAAAAATCAAAAAGTTGAAACATTCATATTTCCATGTCGTCGTTGGCTTGCTAAAAATGAAGATGATGGAAGTATTGTACGTGAACTTGTTCCAGAAAAAGTTATTGTAGAAAAACTTGATAAAAGTGGACACTTACAAGTTCGAGAAAGAATAATTCAAGATCACCTTGAAAGTATAAGAGAAACAAAAAAAATAGTTAACAAACAAAAATAATTTGTTTTTATTTTATTCTCTTAGTGAAACAATATATAGTTGATGTTTATACAGGAGATAAGTTTGGTTGTGGAACAGGTGCAAATGTTTATTGTACAATCTATGGTGATAAAGGTGATACGGGTGAACGTGAATTAGCACATTCTGAAACACATAAAGATAAATTTGAAAGAGAACATTTGGATAGATTTAAACTTGAATGTGCAGATTTAGGAAATATTTATAAACTTAAAATACGACATGATAATGGTGGATTATCACCTGATTGGCTTTTATCTAAAGTTGAAGTTAGAGATGATATAAGAACATATGTATTTTATTGTGAACAATGGTTAGCTAAAAGAAAAGATTCAAAACTTGAACGAACACTTTATGAAAAAGTATATATGAAATTTTTATTTTTTTTTGTTTGCTTTCTATTAATATATTTATTCTTTATTTTTCTATTATAAGGATTATCAAGGTTCAATGAGTAATCTAGGATCTATACCTCGTTCTGTAACTGGTTCCAGAGCAAGTTTAGCATTAAATGAAAGTGATAGTAAAAATGAGCCATTTCGACGTGCTCGACGTAAGAATATCATTTCAAGTATAGCTGAAGAAACTCGAGATACAACTGAAGAACGTATTCCTAATACAGTTAAAGTTAAAACTGGAGAAAAATCAGATGCTGGTACATCAGCAAATGTATTTATACGTTTAATTGGTCGTAAAGGTCGACAAACAGGTCTAATACCATTAGAATTAATGCAACGACGATATTTTGAACCTGGAAAAGTTGAAACATTTTCTTTACAAGAACCTGATATTGGTGATTTAGAAATTGTTGAAATTGAACATGATGGTGAAACATTAGCTGATAGTTGGTTTCTTGATGATATTACTATTGAAATGCCAACAAAAGGACGAGCATTTTATTTTGCTTGTAATGAATGGCTATCAAAACATAAAGGTGATGGACGAACGAAACGTATACTTAAAGTACAAGATTCTAATCAATCATCATTTGAACCTTGTAAGATTTATGTTTGTTTCTTTTTTTTCTCTGGTTGCTATGAAATTTTTTTTTGTCTTTTTGTTTTAGTAATTCAATATAAAATAACTATTTATACAGGAGATATTGAACATGCTGGTTGTGATTGTGATGCTAGTTTGAAATTATTTGGTGCAACACGTTCATCATCTGAACATGTTATTAAAAAAGAAGAAGGAAATTTTGAACGAGGAGCTATTAATCCATTTAGATTTGAATTAGATGATGTTGGTAAATTAATTAAATTACGTGTAACAATAATACCAAAACATAAAAAAGGTCGAAATCGATGGTATTTAGAAAAAATTGAACTTATTAAATGTACAAAACAAAATGAACGACAAGAAACATATTTCTTTGGTCTTAATGATTGGATATCATCTGAAACAGATTATCATCGTGATATACCATTAACTAAAGATGGAAAAGCTTTATTAAATAATACAAATTATCGTGTAACAACTAAAACTAGTAATATAGATGATGCAGGTTGTGATTCAAATCGTGTACAGGATTTACTGCCGCGGGATTTACTGCCGTAAACAATTTTCATAAGGCGCGCTTTGCTTTCATGCGAATTCTAAAAAAAATTAATTAACATATTTGTTCACAACTATTTTTCATTTTATGATCTTTTTCACCCCGCCCACCCCCCCCCTTGCTCTTATTAAGGATTTAAGCGATTTAGAAAAAAGAAAATTATATGGAATAGTTGTTGGATTTATATTTTAGCTCGAATCTGCTCTTTTGATAATAGGAAAAAAACATTTGAATGTTATTCTCCTTTATACGATATAATATTCGTGTAAAGAATGAATTTTTACGTTTCAGTACTGAATTGCTCTTTTAGCATTAATCGATTAAAAAAAATGAAATAAATCGACTCTTATTGTGTCGATATATACATGTTTATGCTGTGAGTGTTAGTGGACAAGGTGAATCAAATTGTTTTATAAATTCATCAGAATTTAATACGTTATGATAAATATTCTTGTTTCGAAATACAATACCAATTTTATGTAGAATTATAATCAGGGATGCGCGGCCCATGGTGTACGGGGGGTGCGCACCCCTCCATGTTTAAAAAACGATCAGTTTTTCTCATCGAAAATCATACATTTTATTCAAAAAGAAGATCACAAAATGGAAAAAGAACCTTTTTCATCTCTCCACGTTTTTTTTTAAGCACATCTCTGATTATAATGTAATATATTGATTAATATAATATAATAAAAATGAATCAATGTATTATATCGCATAAAAAGGTTTAAAAAATGATGATAGTTAAAGGAAAAAAATGGCAAATAAAATCTATACAACTCATGAGTTTATATCTATATAGGACAGATTTGATAGAATTTTAGTTTTCTTGAAATAAATT